AAAAAGATCCTTCATAGTTACCATTACCGTGATTTGAAATAGATATCCCTTCTGATGGAATATGCAACACAGTCAAGGAGGACATGCTTGACTGTGATTCTTTAATCACAAGGGATACAAAACGGAGGATCTTCGCCTTTCAATAAATATTCATGAGTATATCTTGTGTGTCCAATACGACATTGTCGCATGATGACCTCTTCAAATCTGGACTGACAACCAAAGTAGGTGTAACCAATAAAGGGTTGTATTTCATGTAATTTATTTATACCTACTTGGGTGTCACACTTCTTTTGCATCAGATCACGGATATAAGATCTAATAGCAGCTTTGTAATCAGAGTATGGGATCAGAAGTGGTGTCACAGATTTGTTGAGTGCTGCCTTGGCAGCAACATCGGCCATTGTGTTCCCAGAAATGCCAACGTGGCTGGGTAACCAACAGAAGACGATGTCGCATTGGCCAGTAGCAAGTTCATTATACAATTCAATAATTTCTATTAAAAGTGGATGTTTATAAGAAAGATTTTGAATGGCCTGAAAGAGCATCGGAAAAAAAATATGTATTGTTTATGTTTAGTGTGTCTTTGAATATCATTAAGACCCCACGTCGACCTTGAACTAGTGCAGCAGTCCTAGCAGTCGGCAGTATTCGATCACTTATATGGTCAAGGTCATGAAATAGAACTCTATATTGGTTACACCTACTTGGTTTGTCAGTCCAGATTTGAGGAGGTCATATTACGACGATGTCGTATTGGGCATACTAGATATACCCATGAATACCTGTTAAAAGGTGAGGATCCTCCGTTTTGTATCCCTTCTGATGAAAGAATCACAGCCAACTGTACTGATTTTTCCATCACAATGGATAACTATTCAATGACGAAAAACGATGAATGATTTTTTTAGTAATGTACTTGTTCATTTGATTATTGTTTTATTAAGGAAAATGATTTAATTGATAAATTTTGATTGATATGTTTTGTAGATAGATGTATTTTAATGATTGGTAGTTTAGATTAGTAATTTAGATTGTTAGTGGCTGTATCCTCAAAGGGAGTTAACGTATCGTACAATTATCTCCTGAGAGGGTACCTAAGTCCCAAAACATTTAAAGTAAATTCTTATCACCTTTTTAATCGTGCTTTTAATGCTTGGCTTGATTTGTCTAAACTGCTGACAGCTGAAGGGATGGTGTAAATCCAGCTAGGTTAAATGTAGGTAGCAAAAGTAATGTAAGTCCCCAGGGTCCCTAGTATGGTCATCTACCTTAAGGTGTTGGCAGTCTATAGCCCGTTTTGTATTGTACTGCTATACTTAGAATAGTGTTTCATGGTTATATGCTTGTTTTAAGTATAAATCTGTGATATACTAGTTATGTTACTGCCCTTCGACAGTAACATAACTGGTAAGTATATAAGTTCGTTTTCATTTCATAGTCACGATATGGGTGAAATATTGCCGATATGACTTTGAATAACTCACTCACTCACTCTTTATTAGACTGACTGAGTTTGGTTATACGCCGCTTCTAGCAATATTCCAGCAACATCACGGCGAGGGACACCAGAAATGGGCTTCACACATTGTACCCATGTGGGGATTCGAACGCGGGTCTTCGGTGTGTCTTTATTAGACGATGGAATTAAGTTATTACCAAAGTATTGTTGTAGAAGACCTAATTATTTTAAATTCCATAGTCTAGTTAGGAAAGAAATTACACAACTATTGATAAGCTAATCAAATATATTAAAAATATTTCAAAACATCAATGATATTGCCTCGTATCAATATAACAGTATTCATGTATACATGTACCATGTACCACTGGTTTTGGTGAATAAATTAAATGAACTGAACTGAACAGCAGAGTGAACATGAACGATGTGACTTTAATATGATCTGTCATGACAGTGTGATATCGTGATAAATGACACAGATGTGTTCCATCTATATGGGACATTTTTGAAAATTAATAAATATTTGCGCTTTGTTATTTCTTTTGATTCACCCACATTGTGAGGTTAGGGCAGTAGATTTGGTTACCGTGTTCTTTCACAGGTGCTCTGGGTAACGCTTTAGATTTCGTTTTTGGAAAATATTATTTAATTGAAATAATATTATCCTAAAAAATGTTCCAAAAGTGGCAAAGTAAATACAAGTAATTAAAATCATAACGAAACAATCTATTAAATAAAAAAACATTTAGAAAACTAAAACGACTCTAAAAATATTCACATGATAAAAGCTAAATTACAAACAGGCCAGACAAATAGAAATTCCAAACAGACACATTCACACACTACAACAAAACAGAAACGCCCGAGCATGTCCTACAACAATGCATACACTACCAACAACACAGAATGGTGCCCCAGAGTTCACTGGACACAAACACACACCTAACACTACAAACACGTCTAAGCTCACTAAATACCTCCCAATCCGTCAAAGCCTTAGGTATAATTCTTATCAAAACTGGCCTTAAAGTTCGCAAATAATCCCATATAACCAGAGAGTCGTAACTTACAAAATACAAAAACAAAACATAAAAATAAACAAAACAAAATTTTAGCTAGTACTAAGGTAAAAATATAAAAGAAAACATAAAAATAAACGAAGCAAGTACCTAAACCACCCCGTTGTTCATCCCTGACAACTTCTTACAAATTTCCGAATTCAAAATCCATAGTTTACAATTACTCTTTTCGTCAAATTCAACTTAAACTTGGTCCCCTTGTTACACGCGTGTGTGTCTTGTTGCGCACCCGTGTCACACCCGTGGCACATGCGTGTTGCATGCGTTCTGAACGCGATCAATACCAACAGCTCTTTAATATATTAATATACATACTAAATATAAACGATACATAATCTTTTCCGGTTCTCTTTCTTGCATTCAGGCTATTAAAAATCTTTCTTGAAAACATCAACTTTTCATAGAAATTGTTGAATTACATAAGGACCTTGCCACTGGCCAGTACGACATCGTCTTTTGTTGGTTAACCAGCCACGTTGGAATTTCTGGTAACACAATGGCCAATTTTGCTACTAAGACAGCACTCAACAATCTGTGACACAACTTCATATCCCATACTCTGATTAAAAAGCTAGCATTAGAACCTACATCCGTGATCTCATGCAGAAGAAGTGGGACACCCAAGTAGGTATAAATAAATTACATGAAATATAACCCTATATTGGTTACACCTACTTGGGTTGTCAGTCCAGATTTGAAGAGGTCATTATGCGACGATGTCGCATTGGCCATGCAAGATATACCCATGAATACTTATTAAAAGGTGAGGATCCTCCGTATCCCTTGTGATGAAAGAATCACATTCAAGCATGTCCTGCTTGGCTGTATTGATTTTGCCATCACAAGGGATAATTGTTTCAATGTGAAAACTGTTACGGATCTTTTTACTTCTGTTAATTTTCATTTAATTATGGTTTTTTAAAAGAAATGGAATTATTGCGAAAGCGAAAGCAAATGTCACATGTGCACCATGTGTTTTCTGTGAAAATCACGTTGTTGTGGCAACATTCACAACAATACTTGCATTTGATGAATTGACTAAAACTGTTCAGGCAAACTAGAACTCTAAGTTTTAGTCATTTGACCAAATGACTGAAACTTTTAGTCTGATCGTTTTAGTCATTTGACCAAATGACTGGTTGACAGATTGACTGTAATATATTATATGTTTTGCTGCATCATGTTCGTTTATTTTCATTTGGCATTTTCTGTACTTTCACATTTCCCTGACATTATTCATTCTATTCAAATTGTTTCAAGTTGTCAAATTATCAACGTTTAGATTATACTCTGCAAATAATTAATGCAAAATTGATTTTGAGATCAAAACAGTATGTATAAATGTTAAAACAATTTAGCAATAGATCATAATAAATTGTTCAAAGTTGGCACGGGTTGTGGTCTCCGGCCGAGAATTATCATGTCACACATGAAACACTCAAATGCCAAGGTGAAGGTCATTTGTTCTCAGTATCTTGTATGGCGCCATGACAGTCTAGAACTGTCTGTCCTCGACGCCCCTTGGAACCAACGAGATTATTATTGCTGGAATGGGAATGCTCGCCCATTCTTTCTAAAATGCTTGTGCCAACTGTTGGAGGTTCTATGGATGTTCCTGATGTGACCATGGACGTTGATCAAGAGCATCCCATCAATGTTCGATGGAGCTTATATCTTGAGACCTTAAGGGCTATGTAAGTACTTGAATGTTGTGGTTTCTTCAAAAGTGGTTGTTAGAATTGCTGTGTTGTATTGAATCATTATGTCTGTTTGTTTTATGTGGCCGAAGAATTATCATAACGTGGCGACGTTAAATTGACAGGGATTTGTTAAAAGTCTGCTTTACCGGTATGGGAGATGGTCGACCACATCCTTACATCATCGCCACCAAACTTCTCCGCCTCCTATATGAAGTTATGAGCATTACCTTCCCCACGACGCCTTCCTACTAATCCAAACGTAAACCTAACTGGTATTTGGTATAAATTTTGTATATCATCAAAACTCCGCCAAATATTTTACAATCTGTGCACTTTTGCACAGAACTAACTAAATTTAACACATTAAAAAAAACCTTGAACACATTTACATGAAGAGCTGCTTTATGTCAAGTTCAGTGCTCGAAAAAAATATTATCTGAAAATCAATTCAATTAAACCAAAGATTGCACAAAACAACAGTGGTATATTTGACACTATGTACATAAATATAAGTAACATGCACGAAGATGAAAATATCATGTACATAGATGAAAAAGTCTTCAACGTAAAGCATCATCCTTGCAGATGATAATTTATCTTTAGGGCCACGAATTAGTTTTACGATTATACTTAAAATATGTGAAACTAACATCTAAATGCAACAGGATGAAAGGTTTCTGTGTCAGTATAGACTATAGACTTATCACCTTTACCTTTACTTGACCAAATGGGACATATTGGCACCAAGCATACTGAAGAAATTGAAGTGTTCTATGAGATTTCCTCTACCAAATGTCCACAAAAACAGAAAATAATCTATCTGAAGGTATCCAACAGTAGGATGTCAATCCTGGCATTTTTATCAGTGGTATGTTTCGTATGACCATCGGAAACAGAAATATTAATACTTTAAATTAACAGACGTTCTGTTCAAAGACACTCCAGCCAGGCGCATCCACTGTGATGTCACTGCTGCTGCTCACGTTGTAAGAGATCTCGCAGATTCCACCGAGTTTACTGTAGTTGAAAAATGGACAGGAGCCATATTCCAAGCAGGATCTCGCACATTGGAGGACAGATGTGGTTTGTACCTCGTGAGGGTTCGGCAGGACTACCTTTTTGCCAGGTTGCTTTACAAACTGGGCATCTGAAAATAGGTATCATTTCATTCATATGTTCGTTTCAGAATGGCGAATGCTAACAGCAGAGAAGTACACGCTTAACCCTTCCGTACCCGTATTTTCATTACTTAATTTCACAGTTAGTTTACAATTCTACACCAAACCCCATCTGGGGACTCTCAGTGATAAACTGAACATTAACCAAACACATGTGACGAGAATGACTACGACATGCAAATGAACAGACTCAATGCAAAGCGTTACCCCTGACTGTCTCTTCCTGTTCTCGTGATTCATACACCTCGACCTCGCACAAAAAGATGGGACTGTCTTGGGTAAAGCGCACAAATCGTCCTCTTACTGGCGTGGAGCAGTACACTGTCTCCGCCACAGCTTCGGTGAATCTCCCGTTGTACTCAGCGCAAAGGTTAGGACACTGCGGATCTTGGAATACGTCCAAACGGAATTTGTTGGGTATGCCATCTGAACAAAAAGAAATTTCGTGAAATTATGACACCGGTCAATATTAGAATCAATAGTTGTTAAATTTTAGCACATGAACACGTTAATACCTTCAGTCATACCTTGAAGAAGTATGGGTGACTTAATAACAGGATGGAAACAGGTGGCAGAAGGTTATAGTAGCCACCAAAAGAAACTGCTCATAGGAAATCAACATATAATTTGGAACTATATGTGTACATAAATCCAGACATAAACACATTAATTAGTGAACGGAATTGAACATACATGCACCCGCTGTTTTTCAGCATGGACACGTAGACATGCACATCTCCGTACACTTCGGAATAATTAACGGTTAATGTAATACAACGCCACGACTGATGACTACAGGACGTCTTGTGGCTCCCCTATTTCCATTGCCACCATAACACCATTTCAGCACCATTGCCACGTTATCAGAATAATGGCACCCGTGAAGAGCCACCTCCTCGTGGTGGGTAACGCTAAGAGCTCTTCAACCCCCGTGTTGATCCGGGGGCATATTGGTCCACAACACCCCATTGCTGGTCTTTTAGGCCGAATTGGGCAACCCGTTCGCCGTGGGTTGCGCCCCTGTGTCGGTAGAGGACGGGAGTCTGGTGGTTGAGATCACTGGTTCCAGGGCCCGATTTAAGTAATCGACAGGGCACGCCAAGCCCCGTGTATGTATATTTTGATACACAAGTTTCAGACACTTAGTAAAACTTTAATGTTTTGTGAGATGACTTGGCTTATGATTATGTATTTGAATTTGAAAATATTTCACTTTTGGAATTTGCCTAGAGTCCTATACCCAGAAGGCGGTGGCTCTTGGGCCAATCTTGTGGTGTAATTACTTATAATTATTCTGCTGGAGTATATCATCCATGAATGTATCGTTGGTGCTGCAAGTCGTAAATCCACTTGTTATTAGCATTGTCTATATGATACTCCGTGGTGGGTGGGGAGCTTGGATGACGAACCAATATACCGCGAATCATGGAATACCAAACCCCTAACAAAAACAACAAAAGCAAACGTCAAATGGAAAATGATTATCAACAACCCTCTATACACACTGATTACTGGCCACGTCTTTTGGTTATCGAGACTCATGACAAGACTCTTTTAAAATTAAATCCATTTGCAATTTCTAAAGGTGTCCCTGGCATAGCAGGCGAAGTAAAAAACATCAAACACTTGCGCTCAGGATCGCTGTTAATTGAATGTAAAAGAAAACAAGCTACCAACCTGTTATCAACTGATATGTTTATTGGAGTCCCTGTGTTAGTTTCTGCTTACAGAACGCTGAATACCAGAAAAGTTATTGTTCGAGACCGAGATCATCTTCTCGCAGACATGACAGAGCTCGATATAGTATCAGAGATGAAAGATCAAGGAGTTTCTTACGTCAAACGGTTTACAACCCGGAAAAACAATGCTCAATTTTCTGCTTCAAATCCTCCAAAGTCAATCAAGGCAGGTTACTGCAATCTGAACGTTGACTTGTATATTCCAAATCTGCGCTTCTTTAAGTGTCAAAAGGCACCCGTGAAGAGCCACCTCCTCGTGGTGGGTGCTGGGTAACGCCAAGAGCTCTTCGACCCCCCGTTGTGGACCCGGGGGATATTTGGTCCACCAACCTGTTTGCCGTGGGTTGCGCCCCTGTGTCGGTGGAGGACGGGATTCTGGTGGTTGAGGGCACTGGTTCCAGGAACAGTGTTCCTCTGCCCAACACACCACTTCGGCCCTTACTTCACCTAGACGGGTGGTTGAACTTGCCCGGTTCAATCAATCGGCTGGTCACGCCAAGCCCTGTGCATTGATTATATGTAATTGCACAAAATTTGATTTGGAATTGTTGCAATTTCGGTCTTGGCACCCTTTGTTCATTTACACTAAATTTGTAATATGTTTATCATGAACTTTGCCTAGAGTCTTAATGCCCAGAAGGCGGTGGCTCATGGGCCAATCTGGTGGGATTTATCTTTTCAAGATTTTTTCTGCTTGAGTATACCCTCCTAGTATCCTTGGTGCCGTCTGCTGGAGATCCACAGACATGAGGCATCGTCCTTGTTGACACTCCATGGTGGGTGGGGAGCTAGGAGGATGAATCATATATATTTCTATCATGGCACCCCCACTCAAAAAACGCTCACACGAATCTGATAATTCGTTGTCTTCAGAAGATGAAGGTCAAGCAATCTTTAACAATCCGGATAATTGGCCTCGATTTCTAGTTATGTGTGCTCCTGACGGTGGCTCTTTAAAATTGAATCCCTTTGCTGTATCAAAGGGCATTGAAGGTTTGGCCGGAGATGTGAAGGACATCAAAAAGTTGCGATCTGGTTCCCTGCTAATCGAGTGCAGGAAACAAATACAGTCAAATATTCTGCTCAAAACAAAGTCTTTAGCAAATGTTCCTGTGGAGGTGTCCCCTCACAGGACGCTAAATAGCAGCAAGGGCATCGTCCGGGATACTGGACGTTGCCTTTCAGACATGAGCGAAATTGATATCATGACTGAACTGCACTCCCAATGAGTAAGTCAGGTCAAACGCTTTACAGTCAAAAAGAATAACGAAGTTATCAAAACTAACAAATATCTATTCTCGTTTTGTTTACCAGTACACCCACAATCTTTGAAAGCAGGGTATTGCAACTTGAGGGGGGAGACTTTTATCCCCAATCCCTTAAGGTGTTACACTTGTCAGTAGTATGGTCACGGAGCCAAGTCCTGCCACAATCCAGCTGCATGTCATCGATGTGCTGGACCATGCGAAGACAGTAGCCTTTGCGACAAAACACGTGTTTGTGTCAACTGCGCGGGTTGCCATCCTTCTTCATCCAAGGAATGTCCTTCCTGGAAGTTGCAGTCCAGAATTTCGCGAGTAAAGCATGAGCGAAACGTGTCATTCTTTGAAGCAAAACAGATTGTTCTTACACAAGAACAATCAGGTCCGAGTTATGCTGCCACTGTTTCTGCTTCTGTTAAGGCCTCTACATCAAAACATGTCTCATGTACTTCAGTTGGTTGCCAAACCGACTATACGTGGGCTAGGACTTCTGCCCCTACCTTGATAACTCCTGAAATTCAAGCGAGACCTCCAAAGGTGACTTCCAGTGTTCAAACCATGCCTTCACAAACCATCATTCAGTCCAAGGCATCTTCTGAGAAAGACAAATCGTCATCTCAGAACCAACCATCTAAATCATCTGACACAAGTGCGAAAGTGACTGTGAAAAATCCATCCAAACCTAACTATCAAAACAGAAAGAATCAAAGCAACAGACCCCCAAAGGGGTCGAATAACCAGGTCCAAATTTATAATAAGTTTGGATCCCTTGAGGACATGGATGTGTCCGACCATAGCCATGGTAGGACTCATAGCTTGTCACCCTCAAGGAAGGTGAGGGGAAGATCTCCTGTTCATCCGCCAAAGAAGTAATGTCTTCAACTATAATTCAATGGAATTGTAGAGGACTCCGGAATAATTTAAACGATTTACATCTATTAAACCAAGATTTTACACCTTCAGCGTTCTGCATCCAAGAAACTTATCTGAAACAAACATAACTTTGACTTCCGTCAGTTCAATGCATATCACTGTTTTTCTCCTCCGGGTGATAGAGCTTCTGGTGGATCATCCATCCTGGTGAGGAACACTGTCATCCATAGCTCAGTTCCACTCAAAACAAATCTTCAAGTCGTTGCTGTTCGACTTACATTACAGGTTGCTTTTACTTTATGCTCTTTGTACATTCCGCCTTCATCGGCTGTTCAACTAACCGATCTGCAAGCTCTTTATGATCAACTACCTAAACCCTGTATAATCATGGGTGATTTAAATGGCCACAACCCGCCTGGGGTGGCACTAATACAAACACCAAAGGTAAATTACTGGAGGAATTTATTTCCAATAATGATTTATGCATTTATAATGACGGCTCAAATACGTATTTACATCCTGGCACAGGAACATATTCAGCTCTTGATTTGTCTATTACTGACTCCAAACTATTGAGTGAATTCGAATGGTCGGTCAGTCCAAGTGACCATTTCCCAACAATACTGAAACCTGTGAATCCATCTGATGTTCCTCCATCATCAAGATGGAATTTTAATAAGGCTAAATGGCCTTTATATGAAGCTCTCTGTGCTGACAAACTCAAGCCTCAACTTTTTCATGATATTCCTGATGCCATACAATGTTTTTCAGATGAATTAAATAACATAGCTGACGAGTGTATCCCAAAGTCCTCTGCAATTCCACACGTACGAAAACCATGGTTTAACAACGAATGCAAACAGGCAAGGAAGGCATGGAAGAAAGCTGAGCATTATTTCCGTCGCCATCCTATGGTCCACAATTTAGATAAATTTAGAATTTTAAACGCTAAAGCACGACGTACTTTCAAGCAAAATAAACGCCACTCTTGGCGAAACTATGTCTCAAAAATCAATTCGCGCACACCGATATCAAAGGTGTGGAATATGATCCAGAAAATCAAGGGTAAGGGCTCTAAATCTAGCATTCACCATCTCAAAGATGGGAATCAGCTATTGACTGATAAATCAGATATTGCAAATAAACTTGGTGAGACGTTGGCCAAACATTCCTCCTCATCTAACTATGTACCTGAATTCCAAAAATATCAAAAACAGCAAGAAAAGAAAAGAAAGCTATTAATTTCAATTCAGATAATGGGGAAGATTATAACGAAACCTTTTCAATCCACGAGCTTCGTACTGCTCTTGATCAGGCTCATGATACTGCTTCCGGAGCTGATAACATACATTATCAACTCCTGAAGCACTTACCAGAATCTTGTTTAGAGACGCTCTTATCTATTTTTGATGACATTTGGACATCTGGAAATTTTCCTTCGTCGTGGCGGGACGCTATTATTGTTCCCATACCTAAACCTGGACGTGATCATACTGATCCCTCTAATTATAGACCAATTTCACTGACTAGCTGTGTTTGCAAAACCATGGAA